CCTTGCACTTGCAGTGGAAGGGGGTGAGGCTTGTGATGATCCTTAGTTCCTGGGGAAGTTCATTCCACTGTCTTGGACCAGCCCCCAAGAAAGTTCTGTCCCCTGCACAGATGAGATTTACCCTTGCAGAGAGTTCCATTGTGCCAGAGAAGTGATGTCATCAACGACAGTCTTCATCCTAAAAAGAAAAGGAGTACTTGTGGCACCTTAGAGACTAACCAATTTATTTGAGCATGAGCTTTCGTGAGCTACAGCTCACTTCATCGGATGCAATGTTGCAATGTACCTATCTCTCTTTCAAATGCTGAAGGGTATCTTAACTACAGTACACACCTGTAAAGAACCAGTATAGGTGGGTGAAAAGGAAGATAATTTTTGAAAATAGCTTATTCCTTAACTTTTCTGACACTGTTTCAGGGTACAAGATGGCTCATGGAAGGTCCAACTTTGACCAAACCACAAACATAACCCTCTCTGTTTTCCACTTTATTGTAGTTTTGTCAACTCCCTCAATTTTATCAAGTTTTATAATAATGTTTTCCCTAAAGCTCCTGAAATTCTGTGATTATACCAGAATTCAGTGTTAATTTTTAAAACTTTTTAACCCTCATAGCTGCAGATAAGCTTAAAAACATGAACCTTAAAGGCTCAAACAGGAAAACAAAAAATCCCAACTCTTTAAAAATCCCTTGATTATTAAGCCATTCATGAATCTTTTGGGCCTTGGTTGTTTCTTGAACACTTTGGATTGGCAATACAGTATGTTGGTTTATGTTGTGAATAAGAACCACCTAAGTGTCTGGGCAACTTCCCTTCCTATATAAACTCAATTCAAAGACTCAAAAAGGAATTTATTCCCTTACTAGCTAAGGAACAGCAAACCATCTCCCTCATGAGTAACCAGCTGGGTTTTTAGGGTTGGGGCAGGGAGAGGGGAGGAGGGGCATCTGAAACTATCTATTCAGGGAAGCAATACCAGTTAGAACGCTAATTTATCCCACAAAACCCATGCTGCTCTGAGGAGAGCGTTGTGGCTCACCTTCAGGGACCACTGATTGGTACATCTTGCCACACTTATAAAGGCAACATTTGCCTTTGTATCTTAGGCCTAAATGTTGTGTGTTGCTCATAGGTGCTGGAACTAGTGGTTCTGGGGGTGCAGCAGCACCCCCTGGCTTGAAGTTTCCATCATATTCACTCTTACTCAGGCCTTACATTCTCATAGAGCAGTGGTTCCCAAACTTTAACAACCTGCGAACCCCTTTCACTAAAATGTCAAGTCTCATGAACCCACTCCTAAAAATGAATATTTCCAGGGATTTTCTCCCTTTCCTCAACATAAATTATAAAGCAGTGATCTTGGAAATATAACATTTGTTTTTATGCTTAAACTTGTTCTTCATAATAATTTAAAAACAACACGAGCAGCCGATTTAATTTTAAAAACAGCAAAAAAAAAATCCACCTCCCTTTCTATTTCATATAAGGAGTCTTGAAGTTTAAATCTCCTCAGTACGATAGATATGCTTGCTTTGATTAGCTCTTGGAAGTCCCCAAGGCTCAGGGCTGCTGGCTCGGTGCTGCCCAGGGTCCCTATGGACAGCTCTGTCCACCATTAGGGAATTTTTTTCCCCCAAGAACCCCCTGTAACATTTGGTGAACCCCAGTTTGGGAACCACTATCATAGAGTATTTCCGGGAGTCTCAGGGCTCTTTGAAAATATTTATCACAGCTCTGCTCTAGACAGCGGCTGAATTTAAGCCCTGCTCTTACTAAAAGGAAACGCAGACTGTAACATTAGGTGATGGTCTGGAGGGTACTGTGCACCTAGGGTTGCTAGGTACCTGGTTTTCAACCAGAACGCCCAGTTGAAAAAGGACCCTGGTGACTCTGGTCAGCTGTTAAAAATCTGGTCGGAGGCACAGCAGTGCTAAGGCAGGCTGGCTGCCTGCCTGCCCTCGCTGCGTGGCTCCCGGAAGCGGCTGGCATGTCCCTGTGGTCCCTAGGTGCAGGGGTGGCCACAGAGGCTCCACGCACTGCCTCTGCTCCAAGTATCGGTTCTGCAGCTCCCATTGGCCACAGTTCCTGGCCAATGGGATCTGTGGGGATGGTGCCTATGGGCGTGGGCAGCGCACAGAGACCCTGGCCCCTCAGCCTAGGAGCTAGTTATGGTGGCTACCTCCAGGAGCGGCCTAAGGTAAGTGCCACCTGTCCGGAGCCCGCACCCCAAACCCCTGCCCCAGCCCTGAGCCCCTCCTGCACCCAAACTCCCTCCTGGAGCCCACACTCCCTTCTACACCCCAACCCCCTGTCCTGAGTCCCCTCCTGTACCTAAACTCCCTCCTGGAGCCCACACCCTGTACCCCCACCCCTCTCCCAAACTCCTCAGCCCCAGCCCAGAGCCCCCGCCCACACCCTGAACCCCTCATTTCTGGCCCCACCCTGGAGCCCCCAGCCCCAGCCCAACCCCAGGGTTGGGGGAGAGCGAGGGACAGAGGAAGGGGGCAATGGAGTGAGCGGGGGCAGGGCCTCAGGGAAGGGGCAGGGCAGGGCAAGGGTATTTGATGTGTGCCATTAGGAAGCTGGCAACCCTATTTGCACCTGTGACCGGCCCAATAAGGCCTACTTCCATTTTTGAAGGGCGGGAAAGCGGATGAAATCAAACTAAATTTCCCTAGCGAACGCTGCTGCCCTGCCCGTTAATCTGCGAGAGCCGCCGGGGAGAAGCGGGACAGCTGCGGGCCCCGCACCCTGACGGCTCTGGGGAAAGTCCGAGCACTGCCGGCCACGGCGCAGGGAGCGTGGGCGGCCGCTTTAAGAGGGCGAGCGCGGGGGTGGGCCCCTCCTCCCCGCTCGCTTCCACTTCCGAGTCCGGGCCGCGGAGGGAAGCAGGCGGCGGCGGCGGCGGCGGCCGGGGTAACAGCCGGGTGGGCGGCAGGGGTGGGGACTCGGCCGCGTCACGGCGGCGATTGCGCCAGCCTGGCTGCCGGGGCAGGGAGAGCGAGCGCCAGGCGGGCGGGCCCCAGCTCCGGCCCTGGAGGCGGCTCCCCGGTCCCGGCGCGCACGGCGTCGGGCTCTTCCCCTGCGTTTGGCTCAGCCCCTCGGCCCGTAGCGGTCGCTGGGGGAGGTGGGGCTCCCTCTCCCTCAGTTCCCCCTGCCCTCCCCCCGCGGTTAATAACTTCTCTGGAGGTCTCCTCTGCTGCCCAAGCATGCTGGAGAAACGTGGGGACAGGGTGGCTGGTGTTTCTCCTTCTCCCCTTTACCCAGTGGCGGGTGGCCTCTTCCCCCAGTGGACCTGTGGGGATAGTCCTCGGCTGCCCTGGGGCTGTCTCTCCACCAAGAGGTGGTGGTGGGAATTATTTGGAGAGGGTGGCTGTGGGTGTCCCCCTGTTGCGTTGGTGTTCGGGACTTTAAGGCCAGAAGGGGCCAGCATGACCGGTTGCGAGCCCCAGAGCCTCACCCCCTCGCTCCTGTTGTAGGCATATCACCCCTGCTTGAGTAGCTGAAAATCCTGGCGTTTTGCTTTAAAGATTTCAAGTGACAGAGAATTCGCCAGTCACTCTCGCTTAAACCAGCAAGTGACCCCCTCGCCCTCCAAAAGTCTGCAGAGGAAGGAGGAAAAATCTACTCATTTGATTTGGGGAAAAATTTCTTACGGCCCTTAACTATGGCAGTCAGTTGGACCCTGAGTGTGTTGGTCAGACCTACCAGCCAGACACCTAGAAAAGAGTTCTCTGTAATTCAGTGCCCTTTCGGTTTAGTGTCCCATCTGCGGGTTCCTGGGTCTACTCTACCTAAGCTGCTCTATTCACCATGAGCAGTGACTCCTTCCGACTGTTTCACCCCTCCCAGGAAGGCTTAACCTCCACTTTCATCCTTTAGGTAGCAAGTAGCCACTCTGGTGGGGTTTGTAAATATTTTCATATTTGATGACAAGTACATAATTGGGTTACTACTTATTCAGCTGACAAATAAGCTGCAAACAATATGGAAGTTCTTAGGGCAACATTTCCTTATTTGGGAGTTGTCAGAAAAGGGGTGCCATTTTTGGGGGATAACTAGAGGCACTAGCAACTAAAAGTAGGCCGGGATGAAAGTAAAATGCAGGTCTTACCGATACAGGACTGCTCTGGCCCCCTGAAAGGGTGGGGCCTCGGGTGGAAGGGTCAGGACTGGGGGTCAGGGTCCCCCAGCCAGTCCATCTGCGCTCCCTGGCCCTTGCCGCGTGGGGCTCCAGCGGCTATTTAAAAGGCCGGGGCTCTGGCTGGCGCTGCTGCAGTAGTGGCAGCGGTGGCTGAAGCCCCGGGCCCTTTTAAATCACAGCCCCGGGGCAGCTACTACTACTTCTCCCCCAGCCCCGGCCAACCCCCACTGTCGGTGGCCGGGCGCAAAAGGGGCAGTGGCATTTGAGCACTGCTGCAGCAGTGCTTTAATCAGAGTTCTTAAAGCACTGCTGCTACAGCGCTTTAAAGTCAGCGGTACGGGCCGGTACTGGCAGCTACCCTTTATTGGCTTGCCTTACCAGCCCGTACCCCCTTACTTTCATCTCTGAAGTAGTTCCAATATGGAATTTAAACAAACCTTTAATCTGAATTTAAATTTATAAACACTTCTAGTCATTGTGTTAGTACTCTTAAATTGGTTTACAAAACACAAGTTTAAAAAAAACATTTATAACACTTAAATGGAAACTTGGCTTTAAAAAAACCAACATTTGTGTAATGTTGGCTACTTATTTGTTTAAAAAGTATAACTCCATTATCCATTTGTTTTCAAATATCTTGCCTATATTGGAGCAATTCTCTGAAGCAAAGCGAAATGCTGAAAGTAAACACAGAGCATTAATTGTACCATATAAGTAAACTGGATTTTTAAGAGAGTTTCAGTGTTTACTCTAAACTGTTATTGCTTCTTGCTGTCCTTTTCCACATGAATTATATTGATGATACACCTTCAGGACATCTCCGTTATTTCTTCAATAGGGTCTCAAAGATGAATGCAAGTTCCAAATTCAAACAAATTCTGAGAGGATAAACCTATTAAATCTTACTGAGTGTTGGCATCATGGGAAAGGAAGTTAATCGTATTGACCACCTTGTCATGACAGAACTAACATCTTAAAGGCCCCATTTATTTCCAGAGTTGCACTTCTTCAAAATAAGTGTAATAAACCAAATTAGTTAAAACAGTGCAAAACCATGTGTGGACACTCTTAATTCAACTTAAACCTGGTTTACACTGATTTACTGAAACTCAAATTAGCATCTAGTTTTGCATCAGTTTAACCAGTTATGAGCTGCTAGAAGCTGAAGAACTGGTTCCTTCAGTCGCTCCGGGACTTTGGCGGCACGTCCTTCAGTCGCTCCAGGTCTTCAGCGGCACTGAAGGATCTGCTGCCGAAGTGCTGCCGAAGGCCCAAAGCGAGTGAAGGGCCCACCGCTGAAGGCCTGGACTGCTGCCGGGTGAGTAAAAATTCTCAAGGAGCTTCCCCAGCTCTGGCGGGATGGAAAGGACCGTCCTGCGGGCCACATGTGGCACACTTTGCCCACCCATTTAACAACTGGTTCTAAACCGGCTTCAAAATTTAATAACCGGTTCGTGCGAACCGGCTCCAGCTCACCACTGAGTTTAACTGAAGGTGTTTTGAACCGATTTAGTTAAGCCAGAGCAACTTTGAATATAGGGAAAGGCCAAAGGGGTGTTAGATCTCATTTGGATACTACAGTGGCATGCAATATAGGAAAACCTCACTGCTGAGTTCATTAAAGAACTTTTGGGTTTTAATCCTCTTTGTGCCCTTCTCAAGCTGGAATCTTAGAGAAGTTTGCTGCAGACAAATTTGAAAGAGGCTTTCCAGGCAGGTAGAACAACTTAATTCAGCGGTTCTCAAACTTTAGCAACCCGAGGACTTTAAACTTTAGCAATTTAAATTTTTTTGCGGACCCCTAAGCCCCCCGCCCTGCTTAGCCCCAGGCTCTGCCACCACTCCACCCCTTCCCCCAAAGTCCCGCCCTCTACCTTTTCACACCCCTGTTCCACCTCTTTCCCATTGCCCCCTCTGCCAAGCGCGCCCTGTCCCCCGTTCCTCCCCCTCCCTCCCAGTGCCTCCTGCATGCCACTGAACAGCTGTTCCTTGGCGTGCAGGAGGCGATGGGAGGGAGGGGGAAGAATTGAGTTGATCAGTGGGGCCTGCGGACCCCCTGGAGTGAAGGGCCTGCCTTGCGGACCCGTTTGAGAAACGCTGGATTAACGGGCGAACGGGGGAAGTCCCAGATGACTGGAAAAAGGCTAATGTAGTGCCAGTCTTTAAAAAAGGGAAGAGGGAGGATGCTGGGAACTACAGGCCAGTCAGCCTCACCTCAGTCCCTGGAAAAATCATGGAGCAGGTCCTCAAAGAATCAATCCTGAAGCACTTACATGAGAGGACAGTGATCAGGAACAGTCAGCATGGATTCACCAAGGGAAGGTCATGCCTGACTAATCTAATTGCCTTCTATGATGAGATTACTGCTTCTGTGGATGAAGGGAAAGCAGTGGATGTATTGTTTCTTGACTTTAGCAAAGCTTTTGACCCGGTCTTCCACAGTATTCTTGTCAGCAAGTTAAAGAAGTATGGGCTGGATGAATGCACTATAAGGTGGGTAGAAAGTTGGTTAGATTGTCGGGTTCAGCGAGTAATGATCAATGGCTCCATGTCTAGTTGGCAGCCTGTGTCAAGTGGAGTGCACCGGGGTCGGTCCTGGGGCCGGTTTTGTTCAATATCTTCATAAATGATCTGGAGGATGGTGTGGATTGCACTCTCAGCAAATTTGTGGATGATACTAAACTGGGAGGAGTGGTAGATACGCTGGAGGGCAGGGATAGGATACAGAGGGACCTAGACAAATTGGAGGATTGGGCCAAAAGAAATCTGATGAGGTTCAATAAGGATAAGTGCAGGGTCCTGCACTTAGGACGGAAGAACCCAATGCACCGCTACAGACTAGGGACCGAATGGCTAGGCAGCAGTTCTGCGGAAAAGGACCTAGGGGCGACAGTGGACGAGAAGCTGGATATGAGTCAACAGTGTGCCCTTGTTGCCAAGAAAGCCAGTGGCATTTTGGGATGTATAAGTAGGGGCATAGCGAGCAGATCGAGGGACGTGATCGTTCCCCTCTATTCGACATTGGTGAGGCCTCATCTGGAGTACTGTGTCCAGTTTTGGGCCCCACACTACAAGAAGGATGTGGATAAGTTGGAGAGAGTCCATTGAAGGGCAACAAAAATGATTAGGGGTCTGGAACTCGTGACTTATGAGGAGAGGCTGAGGGAACTGGGCTTGTTTTTAAGGTCAGGCTTGACAAAGCCCTGACTGGGATGATTTAATTGGGGATCGGTCCTGCTTTGAGCAGGGGGTTGGACTAGATGATCTCCTGAGGTCCCTTCCAACCCTGATATTCTATGGAATCATTGGTTACATCGGTTTTACAAAGCTACAGCTTTGCTGGAAAACGTGCGCTGTTGCAGTTTTAGGTATTTTTAAAAAAGCATTTATAGCTCAGTTAATGCGTTTTTCAACACTTGGACTGTCACTACTACTGAGTTATCTTACTCAACTTTTACAACACTGCTGCAGCCAAAGAACAAAATATTAAAAAGAAGGTTCCAGTACTGGCTGTCAGTTGAACTGCTATTTGCAGAACTCTGGCCCAGCGTAAAATGCCTTCTGCATATTCAAGAGCAGCTGTTTATTGAATAAAGCTGGCATGTGGATATCATCTGCTTGGATGTGAGGAAGTGCTGAAGTGTGAACACTTTCAGAACACGTTTGCCATCTGACTGCAGTTCAGCAAGGGTTTTCCTGTTTGTTTCTTTGGAACTTGCCGTCTTCAGCAGTTGCAGTGCTATTGCTGAGGAATTGTTCCAAATATTGAAACTCGCAGTGAGCCTCTTCAGTTCAATAAAGGAAAAGGAGGACTTGTGGCACCTTAGAGGCTAACCCATTTATCTGAGCATGAGCTTTCGTGAGCTACAGCCCACTTCATGTAGCTCACGAAAGCTCATGCTCAAATAAATGGGTTAGTCTCTAAGGTGCCACAAGTCCTCCTTTTCTTTTTGCGGCTACAGACTAACACGGCTGCTCCTCTGAAACCTCTTCAGATCAATGTTTGTCAGCTTCTGGTGGAGCCAGTATTTGGTCTATAGTTTTCACAGATTTGCATCAACTATCTGGGTACTTAAATGATCCTCATCACCATTTTACCTAGGAACCTCCTCCCATGAGTTTAAACGTGGTGCTCTTCCTCCTTTGCTACCGAAAAGCAGGCGTTCGGGAGGTTTTGGTGTCTTATTGGAAAGAATCTGAGAATGAGGTACTGTTGAGGGGAAAGCTTGGGAGAAGGAAGAGTTGCACTTCTAGCTAAGTGCACAGAGGTTAATGGTTTGTCTTCAGCTAGTAGGAGGGAAGGTTGGTTGGCTAGCCTCTGCAGCAGGGATTCTCAAACTTCATTGCACCATGACGACCTTCTGACAGCAAAAATTACTGCACGACTTGAGGAGGTGGGACCAAAGCCGAAACCCAACCTCTGCTGCCCTGGCCTGGGGGGCCAAAGCCAGAGCCCGGGGGCTTCATCCCCAGGAGGTGGCCTGTAACCTAAGCCCCGTGACCCAGGGCTGAAAGCTCCAGCAAATCTAACACCAGCTTTGGCGACCCTATTAAAAAGGGGTCGTGACCCACTTTGGGGTTCTGACCCACAGTTTGAGAACCACTGCTCTACGGCTTGCAGGGATGGCAGCTGCAGACCCCATCAGCTTGTTATGTCTTGTGGGGATGTTGGTTGACCCCAACCAACCTAGGCCTGCAGAGGGTGGGCTTTTTCAGGGGCTCCTCACTGAGCTTCCTGAGGCTCATAGTATTGCTAAGACTTGATCTTTTCTTTTGTTCAAGGCCTTCGTCTCATAGAATATCAGGGTTGGAAGGGACATCAGGAGGTCATCTAGTCTAACGCCTTGCTCAAAGCAGGACCAAATCTTCTTGACTACTGAAGTCTGCTCTTGCCTTGATGCCAGTCACGCTGTCTCCTTAGTTTATTCAAAACACTGCTTCTAGGATCACTTTCGTGGCTTGTGACTCCAGCATCACCACTCCTTCTGCATCCTTCCTCTGGCTTCCCCTCTACTGTATCAAATTTATTTTTGCCTTTGCCTCTGAGGTCTTTCACTGTTTAGCACCACCGTATCAGATCTACTAGCTTATTGAGTTCTCCATCCCAATCTTTGCTCTACCACTGCCAGCTTCACCCTCATGCACTTTTGTTTTATTCCAGGTTGCCCGGTGTAGGGAAGCTTCCTGTCATAATTCATAAAGCTTTCACCTTATCCTCTTTTAATCCTTCTTTAAACACATTTTTGCCATGTGGCATATAAATGGCTTCTGTCTAGCATAGATTAGACAAATGCTTTTTGCTAGACTTTTCCCACCTCTTCCTCACCCACCCTCACTCCATTTGCCTGTTTCATCCACCCATTGTGTCCTGCCTGACATGTAGGTTGTCTCTGGGGCATGGACTCTTTATTATGCATCTGATCCTTGACTGGGCCTTAATAAGCTATTTCTGGCTCAATTCAGAAGCTGCAACAACACAGTCTGGAGTCAGCGGCAGGAGACTTAACTTCTATAATTTTTTTCTTAGTAACTTACATTTTGCTTTGTACTTACAAAATAGCTATAGGAGTAGCCTGGGTCCATAGCTCCAAGTAATAGGAAGTGGGAAAACAAACAAATACTATGTCATGTCACTCTAAGGTATGTCTTCACTGCAATTGGCAGCGTGATTGCAGCGCCTAAAGTTGTACCTGAGCTAGCTTTAATCTAGGTGGTGCATGTACCAATAGCAGTGAAGATGTAGCAGCCCAGAGTTCAAAGTGGGCTGGCTGTCCCAGTACGTATGCAGGCCCTCTGTGCTGCTGTGGCTTCACTGCTATTGGTATTTGCACTAGTCAGATTAAAGCTATCATGAGTATGTCTACATGTAGTGAAATCACCTTTGCCCCCTCCCATGTAATTGTAGTGCAGGCATACACTAAATATGCCAACATTTCTCGACACTCACACCTTGGAGAGCTTCTCTGCACTGGACTAGTGTTTGGAGGATTGGGGCTTTTTTTAGCCAAGTTAAAACAGAGAAGTAGAAGTAAAGGGCAGCTTTCTTCACATGGGGTAGAGGGGACAGATGAGGGAGACAAGCAGTCCTAATTTACTTGTTACTGTAATAGTTCTCTTGTAAACAAGATGGTTAATTTATTGACCCTGTTTTCTCCCAGGGAAGGGGACATTTTCAACTCGCCCCCTGCATTTCACTACTCATTGAGTACTCCTTTTGATCCTATTAACAACTTCCTTGCCTGCCTTTTGGTGTGATGGTATCTACACCCTATTAACATCTAATATGCTTTTAATTCTGAAATACTAAAACACACTTTTCAGCAAGATCAACAAAACCAACTTGAGGTCTGTAAGCATAGCAATCTTGGTGGTGTGAGCCAATAAAAGTTAGTCTTCAAAGTCAATAGCAGAGATTTTATTAAATGCCATTTTAGAAAACCGTTCAAATCTGTACAAAATCTACCTTGTGATAAAATGTGAATTTTGGGGCATAATGTATGAAGAAGCTTATTTTTGTGGGATCTCAGTTTTATTGAAGTCAGTTTAACTTGACTATAGAACAGCTATTGCTTCATAATTAAAACATTGTTCCTAATATGAATCCCTGTATCCTGCTCTTAGCCTCTTTTTTTTATGTTAAAAACTGATCATTTATACTTCCATCCTTTAACCAGTTTTTAATTAAATTAATGTCATCATATTAATCCTCATGCCTTGACTACTTGGTTTCCTCAGTGACCACTTGAGGGAATTACACAGAGGAATACCAGCCCAACTTGTGGAAAAGAAAACTTTTCCTCGAACCTCTTTTTGATTATATTTGTTATGAGTGTAAAGAATAACTTGACATTCAATATTATGTGGTCTGTGGATAGGACTGTTCTGTTCAGTACTGTTTCAGGTAACCCATCATCTGGAGCTTGGAAAAGATCCCTAGTTATTTTTTAAACCACAAGTGCCCATAATTTGCCACCACTGTGTTGCATCATTGTCTTGCAAGAAGCTTGAGTGCGACAATTCAGATATTAAGAATAAATGCACACAATCATATTTGTTTGTTAAACCTGTATCTCTCTTGGTTGACTTGAAACTTAAAGGCTAAGTCCACCAGGAATGAAAACCTGAATTTGGATAGGTTTTCCCCATATTCTACTGCTACAAGAAACACATGGGGTGGTGGATTCCATTCTAGGGGTCTGGAGGCAGCATTTCACCCTCAGACTGGGCCATAGACACTTTTGTGAACTTGCTTTGTTTTTGACACGTGACAAAATAAAAAATTCTCTATGTAAACTTAGCAGGGGTAGTTGTTGTTGTTGTTTTCTCCCTCCTTTATGAAGTTAAAGTGCTTCCCCAATCAGAAGCACTCTTGTATAACTATTTGTAGGATGGCTAAAAATCTAAACTGACAGTAGTGATTAAAACAGAAGTTGGATGCTGTTCTGACTTTCAAACAAAGTCCAACTCTCTCTGCCAAGAAACTACTAGCCACTTGGGGGTGTCTCCCATTTCCTCCAGTCAGAATTTCCTGATATCCATTTTATAAACATTGGTGACTGTAAAGGCTTCTCTTAGGGTTTTTTTTCTTGTAAATCTATTGCTTCAACCTTCAAAATAGCAATAGTTTAGTCCCTAAACTGGCATTTACATAATCATGGGAAGAGCCAGTACTGGGATTCTAGTTTATTCTTGGAATTATGTGATATCGTGTCACTGGATGGCTGCCTATGCTGCCATGGAATGTCACTTGTGAAAGGCAAAGAGCTGTATTTGTTTGTCTGTGGTTACATCATTATTTCTAAAAGACCTAGTAAGAACCAGTTGTGAAACTGATCAGTATAGATGCATTTCAAAATTTATTTATTTTTCATAATCAAAACTTACTGAGCAGCCAAAGTATTTTCATCAATACAGGATGTCTGGTTGATGATTTAGTTGGGGTGGGTTCTGCTTTGAGCAGGGGGTTGGACTAGATGACCTCCTGAAGTCTCTTCCAACCCTAATCTTCTATGATTCTATGGAGAACTAGTTTGTCTGCTTTTATGATTCAAGGAAAGGCATAGGTGGGGACTTTACAAAAAACTGAAACAAACACAAACTGCATGTCACACTTGAGACAGTTCAGGGGCTTGACTTTCAGAGGGTGAGCACGATCAACGTTTTCTAAAGAGGCCTCCTATATGAAGTCTCAAGTTTGGCATGTAACTGACACACAAAATTACTAATCACTTCTGAAAATACTGGCTCAAAAGTATTTGCTCATGTGACAGTCATGTATGAATGTGAGTGAATACAGTAGGCTAGCAAATGCAGAATATTTAATCTATTCAAATTAAAGAGGTCAGACTCACTATTAAAGTTCATTTTACAAACAATTTATAATTAAATAAAAAAATAGTGGAAGTTATAAGCATGTTATGGACATGAGTAGTATGGGTTAGATGGTTATAAGCACATCACTTGAAGGTGGTATAGATGAGCTATGGTTATAAGCAATCTTTTGACCTCTTGGTCTTTAGTAAATGCTTTCTCTTTTTTTATAAACCTTCTATTCAAACTAGCGATAAACAGAACCTTAATATAGTCTGACTAATAAAATAATGTCTTATGGAAGGAGATAGCTATGTTAAACTTTACAGAGCAGCAAAGAAACTTAGAACATGAGAAACTGTAAAATATTCATATCTAATGTCCTCATCTTGATATTACTTCCCTTTCTCTTTAATGCTCAAGACAGGATGTCTGATGCTTTATTTCATGTGCCCTTGCTGCTTATTTTCTTTGTGCCAATGATAGTTAAGGGCCAGCCATGTAATCAATGCTGTACATGACCCAAAAAGTACAGGTCCTGCCTTGGAGAGTCTAAATCTAAGGGTTGACCTGAAGGAGGGTGATCTCTTAAATCACTTTTATTTTTAAAATTAAAGGCTTTGTGATTTGGGCATTGATTTGGGTTTTAAATGACAAAAGGAAGGGGCTCCTAGTTCAGAGGGTATTCAGCCCATGGGGGCAGCTTGCAAGATAGTGGGATGACTGGAATGGGAGAGGCCTTTCAAGACTGACCTTGCTGGAACTATAAAAGGAGAGTAGGGATGCAATCCAAAACAATCTCAGAATTGTAGATTGGAAGTAGGTGTGCAGGCCCTAAAGTTAAGATGCAAAGTTTAATGCATGGATGGGGGCACAAGTGCAACCAGTGGTGATTGGATTGGGAAGGGAAGGGAAGGCTTTTTTGGTTGTAGTATCTTGGGAACACTTAAATGATGTGTGGCCATTGGAGATTACAGTAATCCTGGTGGAGCTGACCTCTGTGTAAACGGGCTATCCCATTTGCTTGACCTTATGATAGAAGGTGCCACTATACCAAAAATTTCTGAATAAGACATTGTGAAAGTATAGTGGACAGAATGATTTGCTAAATACAGTCAACTGTTTGTCATGCAAAGTCTTAAACAAGAAAATTTGACTCCTCTTTAACTGTTGTATTCTTGTATTCACAGAAGAAAGAATCAAAAGTCTAGTCTCTTTTAAGCAGAGCTGATTGGCATAGTGGAAATTGCCATGAGACTTCTCTGTACTGCACTTTCTTTGGCCTTGATTTACCAGCTGGTTGATGCTACATTATCAAAGACAGATGCAAAGAAAATGGCTTCAGAAACGCTGGAGGAAAAGGTATGAGAACTAGCTGTTCATGACAACTTGTACTCCAAAGTGAGTTAACAAAGAATATTGGCAGATGCTGAAGCGTTTTTCTTCTGGAATTAATTTATGATGGTTTAGTACAAAACCAATAGTATAACTAAAGTATACTGATACTGAATAGTCTTAACTACAGCTGGATCATGGGTTTTTTTAAAATTGAAAAGTCACAATTTTAAAAGCATTACCAAGGAAGACAAGCTGTTTAGCTGATATTGAACTTGTAAGAATAACTACATGCACAGTGTTAAGTTCACTACATGGCAAAACATAAAGGTGTAAATTGTCTTGCTTAAAGGAACATTTAAAATTTTGGAACTGTGTAGCTAAAATGTCAAGTTTCTGATAAAGCACCTTTTAGTATCCTGAACTCATTGCTTAAAGCAAGGGTGGTTCTGGCTGCCTTTTAATGTTAAAAACAGTGCTTCGGGCAGGCTTAAGAGCAACAGGACTAGACATCCTCAATCCTGCCATAACTTCTTGTACCTGCTTCTGCTGCTTCACTTTTAGCATTGCTGCTACTAGTGAATGTCCTCATGCAGAGTCTGGGAAAGGGTGTGCACACTGAATGTAAAACAAGATTTCCCAACGATCAGGTGCAGAGAGAAAATAGAAGGACCAAGAGCCCTCTGGAATCCCCATAGAAAGTTGAAGGTGAGGATGACAGGGATTCTTCAAAGTAAATGGTGAAAGAGTTATTAGAAAGAGAGAAGAAGAACCAGGAAAGGACAGAGTCACAGAAGCCAAGGAAGGGTAAGATTTCAAGAAGAGGAATGTGGTTGACATTGTTGAAGGTAGCTGATGGGAGAAGGAGGTTGAGGATGGACTATTGGTTCTGAGCTTTGGTTAGAAGGAGCTCATCTGAGAGTTTGAGAATGGTTTAAGTGGAAGTCAAGGGGCAGAAACTGCAATGGAGAGGGTCTAGGATGGAATTAGAGGAGAAGCACTTTGTACATGTTCAGTGAACTTTGAGACAGAAGAGAGACAGCATGGTAGCTGGAGAATCAGTGATCAAGGGTTGGTTTTTTAAGATGGGAGAGACTAAAACGTTCTTGTCTTATGAGGGGAAAAAGCCAGAGGACAGTGAGAGTTTAAGGAAAAGAGTGGGCACAAGGGAGATCAGGGGATGGGATGGGTTCATCGGGGCACATGGAGGGGCTAGAGGAAGAGAGCAGACAAGTATACTGTCTGTGACAGGAAAAGGAGATGAGTTGTAGGAGAGGGGAAGGTAAAATGATCTGAGGGGAGGAGGAAGGTCACGTATTTTTTCCATTTTCTCTTGGAAGAAATTTCAATCCCCTGAGCTGGGAGAAAAGTGGAGGCAGGAGGAGGGGAAGACTTAAGGAGTCAGTCAAAGGTGGTTGGGGTTGAAGACATAGGATACAATTTAAGTGGGTAAAATAAAATAGTTCTAGCTAGGAAGAGGGCAGAAGTGAAGGAGGGGAGAATGAATTTGTAGTGGAGGAACTCAGCGTGGTTCCAGGATTTCTGCTAAAGACACTTGCTGTGTGAGAGCAGGAGTGAAGGAAGTGATTGTAGGGGGTGAACAGGGCTTGGTGGTGTGGTAGGATGGACCTACTGACAGCAGAGAGGGGCAATGCTGAATGGTAATCATGGAAAACCAAGTGACAGGGCATGATAGAGGGGCCTGATGGGCGATGCTGAAAATGGTGTGCGCAAAATTAAAAGCGTTCTTTAGAAAACAAACCTGTAGTTAGTTTTACAGTAGTGTTCAAGATATGCTAGATACCGCTCGGAAAAGACAGTCCCTGGCTCCCAAATGTATTCTGTACTCAAAGCAAACTGGGTACAGTAGCAAGTGGCACCATATCTGTACTCATACCACCTCAGGAGACTGTACTCAATCAAACATGGCTAAAAATAGTGGGACATTGATTTGACTTTTCTTTCCAGTCAACAACATCAACCAATAAATGCTGACAATTGTCCACTAAGTGTGCACCTTGTCAGGCCTTAGTGCTCTGCTTTTGGTGACTAGAACTCTGACTGGTCCTTACTCTTGCTCCTGATGCCTCTGATATGTTCATGGTTGTGGACACTTCGCTAGTGGTAAAAGCTGTATGAAGTGTCTCTACCTTCAAAACCCAAATCACAATGGAAGTTCAATACAAAATGTCTTAAATGTAATGGCCTCCTTAAAGTGTTTAACCAACACGCCAGACTGGGAACCCTTCACGCTTGCAATTGTTTTTTGATGTAATACTTGAGAGTACAGTTATACTCTGAAAAGAGACTATGAATCGCTTTATTCAGCTGATCTGCTGTGTGTCTGTAATCTTATCTTTCACTCCTATGAACACTACAAAACTCAGATCACTTAACTGTGGTAAGTTTTAAGTACTGATTCCTCACAAAACTGGAAATTAGTACATTGCCAATCAGTTGGGACTGTGTAAACCTAAACTAGGAGACAGTGGGGTTGTACTTAGAGAACTGGCCCTGCAGAATCTTTATTACTGGTGTGAGGAAACTTAGCTTGACTCCCAGAGTCCATGCTGGGTTTGCAAAACTGGCAGCTAGAAAAAAAAAACTTGTATGATATTGGGTATACAAATCATAAGACACAAACATGAACCCCACAGTACTGCTTTAGTCACTACTCACTGTAGAACAGCACTTAAACCTTGCTAATGGTGTCCTAGATTTGTCTGACTATAATTGCCAAGAGTTAAGTGTCTCAGGGTCTTCTTCCAAAAAGCAAAACATGTTAGAATACATTATGAACTTATTGCAAAATTGTCTTTTAACCTCTGAATGAATGTCATACTGCTCATGTGTGGAGACTGGCACACACTCTTCCTATAGTAAATTGGCGTTCTCCTTTTTTCTGTTTGCAGAGGAAGTGTGTATAAAGACTTTAAATATTGCTGATACTGACAGCATTTCTGAGCTCTAGCCTGTTCCTTTTAACTAAGCTATACTGCATCATTTATAGGGAACACTAAAAGTGTAATGATGTGATTAGAGTGTACATTAACTCAAAGTAGTTAATTGTACAAATGCTGTTAATGAAAGTAATTCTAAAAATTGTTTTCCATCTTAGATATGGCATTCAGACAAAATTGTACAAGACCGGGGTCTGGTAGTCACTGATCCAAAGGCAAAAGATATTGTGTTGGAACACAAAAGTTACTGTGCCAAGAAAATGAAGGAGAGACACTTCTTGGGAGATGTTCTGGGATATATCACCCCTGTAAGTAATAAAATACAAATCAGAGTCTCTGCTGAATACACAGCAGATTAGTAATATACCAGGTTTCTCCATTCTTGCAGCCTCGGTAAGCAGATTCAGCCCAGCACCAGGTATAATATTGTACCTATCCCTTCAGTTTCCTTATTATAGCTACTTCTGATGCTTGGTCAAATAGCCACCCAAGAGAGGAAGGATGGTTCATCAGTTGGGTACTAGTCTGGAACTTGAACCTGCGTTTGTTTCCCTGTTCTGATACCGATTTCTGTGTGACTTTCATGCAAGTTGCATAGTCTCTCTCTCTCCCTCTCCCTCTCTGTGTGTGTGTGTCTGTCCAAATTTCCCAGGGGGATAATAGTATTTCTCTGTCTCACAGGGGTAGTATGAGATTGTGGTGTGGTCACATACTAGAGCAATGGGGACTGTATATGTACTATGGGTAGCTGCACAATGCAACTTGAGTAATTTCAATACAGAGCAAAACTTCTTCTGCTGACACTAAACTAACTTTTATTTCCAAGCTCACTAGTATTCAAAACATCTCCCTAGATCCCTTTTAGAATAATGAACACACATTTTGATAATGGTAAAGGGCTGTGTAAACAAATAAGAAAAAGTGTAACCAGTTAAAAAAATTAATTGCTAATGATACCAACACTACGAACTGCAACTCATCAGTTGCCAAACTGTTGACTTTTTTGTAGGGATGGCTAAGTAGAGGTTTGAAGGAGGGATTTGAAGGACAATGAGGAAATATTACCCCTTTGACTCAGTACAAACACATAACTGTACTTATTTCCCTCCCTTTGTAGGCTAGGAGTTTGTTTTGACAAGTATTCAGCTGTGTCCACTTGCCAGTTAAGCTTGGTGAAAGTTGACTTCCAAGTGAAGGGTCACTCAGGCTCCCAAACCAACTTTGCTTTTACTGTTAGCAGGGCCCTACCAAATTCCCTGTCCATTTTTGTAAATTTCGTTGTCGTAGCATTTTAAGTATCTGAATCCATGAAATTCAAGATTTTTAAGTCTTAAATTTCACAGTGTTGTAACTAAACATGAATATGCATTTAAAAATGGCAAAATATAAACACGTTAAAGCCTTTAAGACTCGGCATTTTTCAAACCTATCCCTTGAAGTTCCTGTTATTTTTGGGGTTTCAAAAATACTTAGAACGTGAAGTAGTGGTATTTTCAGAGTCTTCTACACACTGAAATGGTGGCTTGGAGGGTGAAAACTGGACCACTTATTTCCATGTGTCAACTGCAAAGCCACATAATGACTTAGTTTTCATCTTTAGCTATTACACTGCTCATCACTTCAGTAGAAATTTCTAGGAAATGTGCTGCATTAAGAAAGGTCTTTTTTTTTTTTTTTTAAAGGTCTTGCATAAGAGTAAGGATGCAAGTGCTAAAGCAAAAATTGATGCACATTTGGCAGCACATGTTTTGGCCCTTAACATAGGAGTTGGCTAGAGGGGAAGAGAATATGTTGTGGGGGACTGAGGGATAATTTCTTTTAAACAAGTCTTGGTCTAAAGCTATGTCTACACTATCTACAGTATGTCTACTGGTACAGTTGCACTGCTACAGAGCTGTAAGTGTAGACATGCCCTAAGAAAAAGGAATTTTAAATATTCAGATACAACAGTGATCTTTCAAAATTTTCATTTTTAACAGTTTCAAGTATCTGGAGTGAACTTGTTTTGATTAAAAACAAAATACTACAGGTCTCCCTGCAGCTTTTCTAGAAACTTCTTTTAGAATATGGCAAAATTCAGCAGACTCTGTTCACACTTCACTACAGCAAGTGTTTTGAATGCAGTAGACTCTGTTGGAAGCATTATCACTTATTAAGGAGGGAAAGTATAGTCACGGGAAGGCTAGGCCTTCTAGCAGACTCCACTTGGATATCCTGTGACTGTCTGGCTCTTCCATCCCTTACAAGAAAAGCAGGTGTGTGAAATTTCACAATTCCTAATTTCCATTGAAAAAAAAAATGGACTAAATAACCTATTAATTCCATTCCGCACTGGAGTCTCTCTTCAGTAAAATCTGTAGCTAAGATGGGCTTGTGCATTTACCTTTGCTAGACGTTTCTCGTGTGTATTCCATAGTCGATACTAAGTAATGAAGCTCTACAAACATGCTAAAACACTTCCTCCGAAGCCCACAAACTGACCTGCAGTGATCCTTCCAACACTTTTCCTTGTAATATACAGAAAAATTGTCATCTGGCAAGTAGTAAAGGTTGCTGTAGATCCTGTTGTAATGACTTTTTTCTTTTTCCTTTTTGCAAGTGGAACAACCATGGCTACGATATTGCTAAAGTGTTTGGAAACAAATTTACGTTGATCTCCCCAGTCTGGCTACAGGTGAAAAGAAAGGGAAAGGAGATGTTCCAGTTCACAGGGCTCCATGATGCTGACCAAGGTTCTTTATTTTCATTGCGTGTGGTGTTTGGATGTGTATATGAAATATTGAAATATATAGTCAGTATTGCCATAGGCTGAATGAAAGACACTAATAATGATTCAATAAAATGATCCTTATGAAAATGGGACAGGCCACTAAAAATACCATCTTATTTAAACCTGTGCATCCCAAAGGATGATTGAAGCCTCCCCCCAAAAAATCAAAGCCTCAATATGCTGCAATCTGGTTGTTGTGACAAATGAGCCAGAACAAATGCTGTTGCATTTCATGTGAAAGGCAGGGGAAACTTTTGTAAGGTAAAAATGTTGAACCACTAGTTTCCATATGGAATGGGGCAACTAGCTTTATTCTCTAGATATCAGTAAGGCTGCACTCACAATAGAATGACCTGTGAACAAGTAACACTTTCTCTTATGGGAGGAAGAAAGTTGCAATGTAACTACATGCTTTACTTGAAGACGTCTCTTGAAAGAGACATTATAGATATTGATATTAGATATGCTCTTAGTTTAACATCTGTTTCATTGTTTGACAGATTGGATAAAAGATGTCAAGAAAAAATCTAAAAACATCAAAATAGGTGAGGCTGCATTTTAAGTTTCTTGTAGTCTTCTGCTTGTGGTGATTGGCACAGGCAAGGAAGCCTTTATTTCAGGAGTATGTGGATGGGCGATGTTAGATGAGCAAAATAGTCCTCATGCACAGGCTTTTAAGAGAAAAGACTGGAGAGAAAAAAAAAGTATAAAAGAGTGCATCTAGCATTATTTGGGTCAATTAATTATTGGTGGCTCAGTAATTGAGCTACCATGCCTGTTGGTGCCCTGAGGTTTTTGTCCTGAGAAATACCCCCAGCCCACCACCATTTTTTTTCTTGGTTCAGACTCTTGGACTCTGTGTTCCTGCCATCTTCCTTCTGGATGAGAATTCCTTCAGAGCTGATTGCCATGTTCTTGTGGGGAGAGGTTGGCCTTGTGACCACAGTACCCATAAGATCTGGTTGGAGAATCAAACTGATGATCCAGCTAGAGTGTCTAGCATGATGATGCAGCAGACTACTGCATTTTCCTCTTAACCTGAAAGTCTGAGGTCTCTATAACAGTTTCCTATTTTAGAAAAATTGGAAAACATTGATATAGACACATCTGCTAAACAGATCACCTTACCTACTCCATGATCCTGCCAGTGATTGACATGCTTGCTTTATGCAGATGTCAAAATGTAAAGAGTGGATTGCAGAAGGATGAAATTCATTTAAATTAAAAGAACCCTCAACTTGAAATTTTTAACTATGTCTTTTAAAATACAACTTTCTGATGAATATGAATTCTTTTCTTTTTAAATATGTCCTGATTCTCTTTATTAACCTAAAACAATTCTAAGCCTTTCTGCTCCTGTGGTTAGAATAGTTTTCCACCAGGTGGCACGTCCTCCTCTAGTCCACCTTGGATGACAGCCTTCCTAATAGCTCTCTTTCCTGCTTGCTTGTTGTTTCTTCACTTCTAGTAACATGGGGGCAGAACTAGTAAACAGTCTTATGGAGCTTTGGGAAGAGCGTGTCTGAGATTCCTCAAAGGACAGAATACAAGAATGTTGTCATGAGTGCTAGAAATAATCAAAATAGTGAAACTGACTAGACTCAGTGCTGCTAAACACACAAAGGTAACAAACTAAAGTTTTAAAAGTAAAATTCTTCATCTTTCCAGTGTAGTAATCTTAAGCATTGTGTCAATAATAGGTACAAAACTTCCAGAAGGAGACACTATTTTCGAGCTGGCATCCCTTTAAGATTATCATAGAATATCAGGGTTGGAAGGGACCTCAGGAGGTCATCTAGTCCAACCCCCTGCTCAAAGCAGGACCAATCCCCAATTAAATCATCCCAGCCAGGGCTTTGTCAAGCCTGACCTTAAAAACTTCTAAGGAAGGAGATTCTACCACCTCCCTAGGTAATGCATTCCAGTGTTTCATCACCCTCCTAGTGAAGAAGTTTTTCCTAATATCCAACCTAAACCTCCCCCACTGCAACTTGAGACCATTACTCCTTGTCCTGTCCTCTTCTACCACTGAGAATAGTCTAGAACCATCCTCTCTGGAACCACCTCTCAGGTAGTTGAAAGCAGCTATCAAATCCCCTCTCATTCTTCTCTTCTGCAGACTAAACAATCCCAGTTCCCTCAGCCTCTCCTCATAAGTCATGTGTTCCAGACTCCTAATCATTTTTGTTGCCCTTCGCTGGACTCTCTCCAATTTTTCCACATCCTTCTTGTAGTGTGGGGCCCAAAACTGGACACAGTACTCCAGATGAGGCCTCACCAATGTCGAATAGAGGGGAACGATCATGTCCCTCGATCTGCTCGCTATGCCCCTATTTATACATCCCAAAATGCCATTGGCCTTCTTGGCAACAAGGGCACACTGCTGACTCATATCCAGCTTCTCGTCCACTGTCGCCCCTAGGTCCTTTTCCGCAGAACTGGTGCCTAGCCATTCGGTCCCTAGTCTGTAGCGGTGCATTGGGTTCTTCCGTCCTAAGTGCAGGACCCTGCACTTATGCTTATTGAACCTCATCAGATTTCTTTTGGCCCAATCCTCCAATTTGTCTAGGTCCCTCTGTATCCTATCCCTACCCTACAGCATATCTACCACTCCTCCTAGTTTGGTATCATCCGCAAATTTGCTGAGAGTGCAATCCACACCATCCTCCAGATCATTTATGAAGATATTGAACAAAACCGGCCCCAGGACCGACCCCTGATTGATTTTACAGCCCCTACTAATAACTCAGTTCTCCATTCAAAGTATCTACTTTGAGTCAACGTTCTTTAGTAACCCACTTTTGAAACAAAGGACAACATTGCATGAGCAATTTGCTTATCTATACTAACTGGAGTTAGAAAGTAGAGAAGCAAAACCTTTAGATATGGGAGATTTTCCTGTGAATTTATCAGTGTAATCAGAGCAATTGTAATTTCCATAATTACTTGTTTCTTTCATCTCAGTTCCTCGGATTTTGTTTGATGGCTGGACTTACCAAGATTTTGAGAGTGTTTTTGGCAGTGAGGATGAGATAGAGGAGCTTTCCAAGACGATGGTGCAAATAGCCAAGGTAAAACCATTGCTAATACAAATGAGTTAACCAGTGGGATACCTGTTCTGTCCCTCATAGCTGGATGATACCTTCACATCTTATAGTGACAATGACATTTCTATTCAAACAGTAATTAGGTAGGATGTTAAACAGTAACTGCTAAATTTAAATATCTTAAATCTGTGGGACTAGACAACTTGCACCCAAGAGTTCTAAAAGAGCTGAAGAGCTTTCCGAGCTGTTCAGTGAATCTCTTGGCATGCTGCAGCAGTTCTAGAGGACCAGAAAAAAGTAGGGTTGTCAATTTTAATTGCAGTTAACTCATGTGATTGACACAAATTAATGCGATTAAAAAAAATTAATCGCGATTAATCATAGTTTTAATTGCACTGTTAAGCAATAGAATACCAATTTAAATTTATTATATATTTTGGATGTTTTTCTACATTTTAAAATATAGCTATTTCAATTGGAACACAGAATACAAAGTGTACAGTGCTCACTTTATATTTTTATTACAAATATTTGCACTGTAAAAATAAGAAATATTATTTTTCAGTTCACATCATATAAGTATCATAGTGCAATCTCTTCATGGTGAAAGCACAACTGAAAAATCTACATTTGTAATTTTTTTTTTTTGGTTACATAACTGCATTCAAAAACAAAACAATGTAAAATGTTAGAGCCTGCAAGTCCACTCAGTCCTACTTCTTGTTCAGCCAATCACTAAGAGAAACAAGTTTGTTTACATTTACAGGAGCTAATGTTGCCCGCTTCTTATTTACAATGTCACCTGAAAGTGAGAACAGAAGTTTGCATGGCACTTTTGTAGCCAGCATTGCAAGGTATTTACGTGCTAGATATGCTAAACGTTTGTATGCCCCTTCATGCTTTAGCCACAATTCCAGAGGACATGCTTCCATGCTGATGATGCTCATTAAAAAATGGTTTAATTAAATTTATGACTGAACTCCTTGGGGGAGAATTGTATGTCTTCTGCTCTGTGTTTTACCTGTATTCTGCCATATATTTCACGTTATAGCAGTCTCGGATGATGACCCAGCACATGTTGTTCATTTTAAGAACACTTTCACGGCAGATTTCACAAAATGCAAAGAAGGTACCAATGTGAGATTTCTGAGGATAGCTACAGCACTTGACCCAAGGTTTGCGAATCTGAAGTGCCTTCCAAAATCTGACAGGGACAGGGTGTGAGTCATGCTTCCAGAAATCTTTAAAAGAGCAACATGCCGATGCGGAAACTACAGAATCCGAACCACCACAAAAGAAAACTAGCCTTCTGTTAGTGGCATCTGACTCGGATGATGAAAATGAACACGTGTTGGTCTGCACTGCTTTAGATAGAGCTTAAGAATAGGTATGCAGAGTTGGAAAATGAAGAAGGGGCTCAGCAGGTAGTTACTGAAGGTGGAAGGGCAAGGAAGAAAAGAGCAGCTAGCCCTATAGGAAAAGGGGAAGAGTTAATGGAGATTACACCAAATATGAGCCCCAGGAGGATACAGGATGGGTTAAAGAGGATTACAAGGGAGAATAGGAGTGGAAAGAACTTGCAGCCAGAGGGAACAGGGGATAGACTGGAGAATAGCACTGTCGCTAGGACAAGACAGGTCTATGTGATTGGGGACTCTTTACTGAGAAGAATAGATAGACCTGTAACCAGAGCTGATCCGGAGAATAGGAGGGTGTGCTGTCTTCCAGGTGCTAAGATACGGGATGTAGACCTGAGGTTGAAAAGGATTCTAAAGGGAGCGGGAAAGAATCCCCTAATTATCCTTCATGTGGGAACAAATGATACGGCTAGATTCTCGCTGGAAAGTATTAAGGGAGACTATGCTAGGCTGCGGAAGACGCTTAAGGAAATTGAGGCTCAGGTGATCTTTAGTGGGATTCCGCCTGTTCTTAGAGAAGGGCAACAAAAGTGTGACAAGATTATGACTATCAACAGATGGCTTAGGCAATGGTGCTATAAGGAGGGCTTTGGGATGTATGGCCACTGGGAGGCATTCATGGATAGAGGACAGTTCTCTCGGGATGGACTTCATCTGAGTAGGGAAGGAAATACACTTCTAGGATGGAGGCTGGCACAACTGATTAAGAGAGCTTTAAACTAGGAATTAGGGGGAGATGGTTGGGAGATGTCCAGGTAATCTCCACCCCAGAATTTAGCATTGAGAGGAAAGAAAACGGAGTAAGAATGGATACAGCCGTGGGTAGGAGGAAGGGCAGTGTAGATAAAAGTCTAATAGGTTATACTGGTAGTAAAATGACCGTGCCTAATAGGGTACAGAATGTGAGTGAGGCCAAACAGCAAAAATTAAGATGTTTGTACACTAATGCGAGGAGCCTAGGTAACAAAATGGAGGAACTAGAGCTACTGGTGCAGGAAGTGAAACCAGATATTATAGGGATAACAGAAACATGGTGGAATAGTAGTCATGACTGGGCTACTGAAGGGTATTTGCTGTTTAGGAAAGATCGAAATAAAGGTAAAGGTGGTGGAGTAGCACTGTATATCAATGATGAGATAGAATGTAAAGAAATAAGAAGAGATGAAGTGGATATGACTGAGTCCGTCTAGGCAAAAATTAAATTGGGGAAGAAAACTATTAGAGCCTCCCCTGTGATAGTGCTTGGGGTGTGCTATAGACCACCAGGATCAAATTTGGATATGGATAGAGCCCTTTTTAATGTTTTTAATAAAGTAAATACTAATGGAAACTGTGTGATCATGGGAGAGTTTAACTTCCCAGATATAGACTGGAGGACGAGTGCTAGTAATAATAATAGGGCTCAGATTTTCCTAGATGCGATAGCTGATGGATTCCTTCAGCAAGTAGTTGCTGAACCGACTAGGGGGGATGCCATTTTAGATTTGGTTTTGGTGAGTAGTGAGGACCTCATAGAAGAAATGGTTGTAGGGGATAATCTTGGCTCAAGTGAAGATTATGAGCTAATTCAGTTCAAATTGAACGGAAGGATTAATAAAAATAAATCTGCAGCTAGGGTTTTTGATTTCAAAAGGGCTGACTTTCAGGAATTAAGGAAATTAGTTAGGGAAGTGGATTGGACTGAAGAATTTATGGATCTAAAGGTAGAGGAGGCCTGGGATTATTTTAAATCAAAGCTGCAGAAGCTATCAGAAGCCTGCATCCCAAGTAAGGGGAAAAAATTCATAGGCAGGAGTTGTAGACCAAGCTGGATGAGTAAGCATCTCAGAGAGGTGATTAAGAAAAAGCAGAAAGCATATAGGGAGTGGAAGATGGGAGGGATCAGCAAGGAAAGCTACCTTATTGAGGTCAGAACATGTAGGGATAAAGTGAGACAGGCTAAAAGTCAAGTAGAGTTGGACCTTGCAAAGGGAATTAAAACAAATAGTAAAAGGTTCTATAGTCATATAAATAAGAAGAAAACAAAGAAAGAAAAAGTGGGACCACTAAACACTGAGGATGGAGTGGAGGATGGAGTGGATAATCTAGGCATGGCACAATATCTAAACAAATACTTTGCCTCAGTCTTTAATAAGACTAAAGAGGATCTTAGGGATCATGGTAGCATGACAAATGGGAATGAGGATATGGAGGTAGACATTACCATATTTGAGGTAGAAGCGAAACTCAAACAGCTTCATGGGACTAAATCAGGGGGCCCAGATAATCTTCATCCAAGAATATTAAAGGAATTGGCACAAGAAATTGCAAGCCCATTAGCAAGAATTTTTAATGAATCTGTAAACTCAGGGGTTGTACCGTATGATTGGAGAATTGCTAACATAGTTCCTATTTTTAAGAAAGGGAAAAAAAGTGATCCGGGTAATTATAGGCCTGTTAGTTTGACATCTGTAGTATGCAAGGTCTTGGAAAAAATTTTGAAGGAGAAGGTAGTTAAGGACATTGAAGTCAATGGTAAATGGGACAAAATACAACATGGTTTTACAAAAGGTAGATCGTGCCAAACCGACCTGATCTCCTTCTTTGAGAAAGTAACAGATTTTTTAGACAAAGGAAACGCAGTGGATCTAATTTACCTAGATTTTAGTAAGGCATTTGATACCGTGCCACCTGGGGAATTATTAGTTAAATTGGATAAGATGGGGATCAATAGGAAAATTGAAAGGTGGATAAGGAATTGGTTAAAGGGGAGACTACAACGGGTCCTACTGAAAGGTGAACTGTCAGGCTGGAGGGAGGTTACCAGTGGAGTTCCTCAAGGATGGGTTTTGGGACCAATCTCATTTAATCTTTTTATTACTGACCTTGGCACAAAAAGTGGGAGTATGCTAATAAAGTTTGCGGATGATACAAAGCTGGGAGGTATTGCCAATTTAGAGAAGGACCGGGATATCCTACAGGAGGATCTGGATGACCTTGTAAACTGGAGTAATAGTAATGGGATGAAATTTAATAGTGAGAAGTGTAAGGTCATGCATTTAGGGATTAATAACAAGAATTTTAGTTATAAGCTGGGGACGCATCAATTAGAAGGAATGGAGGAGGAAAAGGACCTTGGAGTATTGGTTGATCATTGGCGGCTCATAGTCATCCTATGTGATATGGCCATGAAAAAAGCTAATGTGGTCTTGGGATGCATCAGGAGAGGTATTTCCAGTAGGGATAAGGAGGTTTTAGTACCGTTATACAAGGCACTGGTGAGACCTCACCTGGAATACTGTGTGCAGTTCTGGTCTCCCATGTTTAAGAAGATGAATTCAAACTGGAACAGGTACAGAGAAGGGCTACTAGGATGATCCGAGGAATGGAAAACTTGTCTTATGAAAGGAGACTCAGGGAGCTTGGCTTGTTTAGCCTAACTAAAAGAAGGTTGAGGGGAGATATGATGGCTCTCTATAAATATATCAGAGGGATAAATACCAGAGAGGGAGAGGAATTATTTAAGCTCAGTACCAATGTGGACACAAGAACAAATGGATATAAACTGGCCACTAGGAAATTTACACTAGAAATTAGACAAAGGTTTTTAACCATCAGAGGAGTGAAGTTTTGGAATAGCCTTCCAAGGGAAGCAGTGGGGGCAAAAGATCCATCTGGCTTTAAGATAAAACTCGATAAGTTTATGGAGGAGATGGTATGATGGGATAACATGGTTTTGGTAATTAAATATTCATGGTAAATAGGCCCAATGGCCTGTGATGGGCTATTAGGTGGGGTGAGATCCGAGTTACCCAGGAAAGAATTTTCTGTAGTATTTGGCTGATGAATCTTGCCCATATGCTCAGGGTTTAGCTGATCGCCATATTTGGGGTCGGGAAGGAATTTTCCTCCAGGGCAGATGGGAAGAGGCCCTGGAGGTTTTTCGCCTTCCTCTGTAGCATGGGGCACGGGTCACTTGCTGGAGGATTCTCTGCTCCTTAAAGTCTTTAAACTACGATTTGAGGACTTCAATAGCACAGATATGGGTGTGAGGTTTTTTTTGTAGGAGTGGTGGGTGAAATTCTGTGGCCTGCGTTGTGCAGGAGGTCAGACTAGATGATCATAATGGTCCCGTCTGATCTAAATATCTATGAATCTAGATAATTATTGAGCAGAATCTGTTATCAGCATGGACTCAGCCTCTGGAATGGTGGTTGAAGCATGAAGGGACATATGAATCTTTAGTGCATCTGGCACATAAATACCTTGCAATGCTGGCTACAATAGTGCCATGAGAAAGCCTGTTCTCACTTTCAGGTGACTTTGTAAACAAGAAGCGGGCAGCATTATTTCCTGCAAATGTGAATAAACTTGTTTGAGCGATTGGCTGAACAAGAAGTAGAACTGAGTGGACTTGCAGGCTCTAAAGTTTTACATTGTTTTGTAAATAGCTCAGGAATAGCTCAGTGGTTTGAGCACTGGCCTGCTAAACCCAGGGCTGTGAGCTCAATCCTTGAAGGGGCCATTTAGGGATCTGGGGCAAAAATTGGGGATTGGTCCTGCTTTGAGCAGGGGGTTGGACTAGATGACCTCCTGAGGTCCCTTCCAACTCTGATATTCTAAGATTCAAACAGGATATTAAATGAATTCTCTGAAGTAGAGGGCTCTAGCATCGGGGACAGAGGGGTCTTACAGTGAGCAACCCTAGAAACAGGCATGTTCTAACAAAAAACTAAAAATCAACTGTCTAACACTAAAAGAAAACTAAGAAAGGAGTTAAACTTGGGCTGTCTTCAGTGTCTACTGATGGAACAGGGTAGGAAAGATAGCAAATGTGCAATAGGGAACAATTCTGTGCTTGAAGAGAAGTGGATTCTGTGACCCCCTCTGACTATAAAAATGGAGGAGATATGTAATAGTGGGATTCCGTATATATGCAATCATTAGGATATTTGGCAAATTATGGTGGATCAAGACCAAATTTTTCTAAGTTTTGAATGTGCACCTCTGCTGGCAATAGCTCATCAGTTACTTGTACATAGAGGTATAATTTCTATATGTCCAAATACTTTAAGACTAAATTTAAAGTAGCTAGCAGAGTGTGATGTTGAGATTTGTTCTAGTGATTTAATACTAATCTACTGTGTTAATTATCCATTAATGAGGTTTCCTTATAACAGTTTAGGAGAATTGTTTGGCCTTTCATATGTTTCTAAAGTAAGTTCTGCTTCATTAATGACCAGTTACATATTTCTACACAGCATACCTTGTGTGCAGCATGTGAACATATTCTTTGCTCTACATGTACAAACTAATATGACTGGGAGGGTGGACAGGGGAATACAATACATGTTTACAGAGACTGGTTACCAGTTAATGTATTAACCTATATGGTATTAGTATAACAATGTGACAGCTGAAGCTTTCTAACTTACACTGAACTGTTCCCAATTCACTTTAGGAAGAAAATTTTGACGGATATGTAGTTGAAGTGTGGAGTCAGCTGGGAAATCAAAAGCAAGCGTAAGTATGAGCCTTTAGGATGCAGTGATTGAAAAAGTAGCTTCTTCAGAAAAAAAACAACTTATCTTTTTAAAAAATTGTATAAAAGCTGTTGTAATCCATATAGATTTTAATTTTATATTTGCACTGTTGGTGTTATGTTTTATTTGTACACAAGTCCTGACCCACTTGTTGCTCTTCTAACTGAATGCCAGTAACGGTCAAGGATCCTCTTTGCCTTATAATTTCCATGTAGGAGTGTCTACACAGCAATTAGGAGGCATGGTTGCAGCACGTGTAGACACACCTGTGCTAGCTTTGATTAAGCTAGCTTGCTCAAAATAGCAGTATATCTGTAATGGCACAGGCATAGTCTTGGGTCGCCTCCTGATTGCAGTGAGAATATACCCATTCTTTGTAAAGGTTTCAGAATAACAGCCGTGTTAGTCTGTATTTGCAAAAAGAAAAGGAGTACTTGTGGCACCTTAGAGACTAACCAATTTATTTGAGCATAAGCTTTCGTGAGCTACAGCTCACTTCAAATAAATTCTTTGTAAAGTCATTTAAGGTTGCTCAATTGTTTCCTCAGAATGGAAACCTTGAAAAACAAAGCAACTGCAAGTTAAATAAGTTACACTCAACACTGCTATTCTTCAGGCTGTAACCCATTGTTACGAGACTTTGATACCACAATAACCACCTTTCAAACTTTATTCAGTTCAACAGTAAATCCCAGTGCACAAAAAATGGATAAACACTGCACCGTACAACATAGACAAAACATGTACATGTTCGAGTCAAACATATTAACAGATATAAGTTAGTGGGAAAAACTTGGAAGTATGGAGCTGGGAGGAGTTAAAGTGCTTTGGAGGATAGGATTATAATTCAAAATGATCTGGACAAGCTGGAGAAATGGTCTGAAGTAAATAAGATGAAATTCAATAAGGACAAAGTGTAAAGTACTCCACTTAGGAAGGAACACACACATACAAAATGGGAAATGACTGCCTAGGAAGGAGTACTGCAGAAAGGGATCTGGGAGTCATAGTGGATCACAAGCTAAATATGAGTCAACAGTGTAATGCTGTTTCAAAAAAAGCAAACATCATTCTGGGATGTATTAGCAGGAGTATTGTAAGCAAGACATGAGAAGTAATTCTTCCGTTCTACTCTGCCCTGATTAGTCCTCAGCTGGAGTAGTGTGTTTAGTTCTGGGTGCCACATTTCAGGAAAGATCTGGACAAATTGGAGAAAGTCCAGAGAAGAGCAACAAAAATGATTAAAGGTCTAGAAAACATGACCTATGAGTAAAGCTACATTTTAGTCACAGGTACTTTTAGTAAAAGTCACGGGCAGTAAACAAAAATTCATGGCCCGTGACTTTTACTAAAAATACTCATGACTAAAACTTGGGTGGTGGGCCACAGGTGCTTTGCGGGGAAGGGAGGTCCGGGGACAATGCGGGTGCTGTGGGAGGTGGCTGGGGTTGTTGCTGGGAGGTGTTGCTGGTGGCACGGGGTGGCAGCGTTGGCACCTTGGTGGGGCTGGCAGGGGCTCCCTGCCCGCCTCCACATCCCTGCAGCTCCTAGGCGGCAGAGGAGTTGGGGCTTGGCGCACTGCTCCTGCCACAAGCACCAGCTGCTGCAACTCCCATTGGCCGGGAACCTCAGCCTGCCTAGGAGCTGCAGGGCTGTGGAAGCTGGGAAGCCCCCACCCTGAGGTAAGCACCTCTCCCCGCCCCTAGCCCTGAGCCCCCTCCCACATACCCAAACTGCCTGGCTCGGGCAGCCCCTGAGCCAGCACCAGTGGCTGTAGAAGTCAGAGGTTACGGAAAGTCATGGAATCTGTGACCTCCGTGACAGACTTGCAGCCTTACCTATGAGGGAAGATTGAAAAAACTGCGTTAGTCTGTAAAAGAGAAGACTGAGAGGGGACGTGATAACAGTTTTCAAGTACATAAAAGATTGTTACAAGGAGGAGGGAGAAAAATTGTTCTCCTTAACCTCTGAGGATAGGACAAGAAGCAATTGGCTTAAACTGCGGCAAGGGAGGTTTAGGTTGGACATTAGGAAAAAACTTCCTGTCAGGACGGGTAAGCACTGGAATAAATTGCCTAGGGAGGTTGTGGAATCTCCATCATTGGAGATTTTTAAGAGCAGGTTAGACAAACACCTGTCAGGTATGGTCTAAATAATACTTAGTCCTGCCATGAGTGCAGGGAACTGGACTAAATGACCTCTAGAAGTCTCTTCCAGTCCTATGATTCGTAAGAAGAGCCCGCCAAAAATCTGAGATGGGCAAAGATTTCAAAAAGAACTTCTAAAAGCTTCCTGTGCTAAGTTACAAAATCTTTATTACAAAATAGTTTAAACTCCATTTTCCTTCCAACATTTTTTGTGTCTAATTTGGAGACTGACTTTGCTGAAACAGGATTTTAGTCTTTTAAATCACAACACAGCCTTCACTTTGGAGTTACTACTGAGAGGCTCACAGTGTGAGCAGACTAAAACTCTTAGTCATTGAATTAGTTCGTCTAGGTTAGAAGACGGTTGAGGTTATCCAGCATGTTCGGAATTCCTGACCTAGTGTCAACTGCTTTTCTTAATTGAGACAGAAGAGGGCTTTAATCTCGTTTCCGACAGACTGTGGAGCTCTGCATTACCTTGGCTACTACAGCAAATTGAAAAGGATGTCCCAAGGCAAATAGGAGTACTCTGTATTTTAAAAAGTGGATGCATAGGTTCCTCAAAGAGAAGTCGTAGTTAACCTTTTGGGTTGCATTTGGATTTTCTTGCTTTAAGTGACCAAATGCTGCACCTTACTTGGCAAACCTCTTATTGAAGTTGGTGAGAGCCTTGATAAAAGACTGCAAGATCTATCCCCAGGAGAATAGAGCTCCACTGTCCTAAATAGGATGCAAAGTGTTGCAGCTAAGTTTTAAACTTTGTGTTTTCTGATCTGCATTACCTTAGTAAGCATACACTGTTTAGTCTAATCTGGATTGAATCGGACTGTTCTGGGTGGTGGTGGGAAATAATGACTTGAAACATGCACTAATTACTTTCTAGATTTTAAGGTGGCAACAAAGGAGAATTTAACTGTTGGGTGGGCTACCTGACAGGGAAGGGGTGATTCAGGGAACCAGCCCCACAGGTATTGTGTTAATTTAAAATGGGGTGGGTTTCCCAACATCTGGGGGACACAGTGGTTAGTCTTACCCTTGTCAGTAACACATTGATAACTCAGTACAGCTGGTGTTTCGTGTATCAGTAAATTTCTTATGGTTGTGTAAACAGTAAGATTGACTTTATATTATTTCATTGAGTAGCTTTAATACCAACTACAGACCAGTTTAAATATATTAACGTGAACTCAAAGGGCTAAATTGCCAACAGCACACAATTAAACATTACAGAGGATGTTGTTTGCTAAACTACAGGGGGAGAGTATACGTTATGTGTATGCTTTCAAAATGAGGCTTGCCTTCTCTACACTTCTGTAAGATTTTTGGGTAATTTATGGAGTTTAATTCTTAAAGTAGGTGTGATTTGCCTTCATTGTACTCCAGCATTCTCCACGTTGATACAGTAAGTACTATTCCGTTACTTCAAGAGGAGTGGAAGCTCCTCATAGTAGAAACAGAAGCTATTTGTCTGCCTTGTTATGAGGTTTTTTTATTTATGAAGTTGACTGTTAAAACACCTTTACATATCTTTAATGCTTACCCATTTTTGCTAGCCATGCTGATCAAGAGGCTTAAAATAGATCTCACTGACCTTGGCAAAGCTATAAGAGGGAGCAGATCTAATGGATTGCAGTTCTCCTTCTCTGTGGAAATGGTCCAAAATACATCTCTGATAAAAAGTTTCTAATTGTACACAAATTAATGGGTTTGTGTTTTACAGTTCTGGTGTTGGAGTTTCCAGGCAAGTGAGCTTGGCTCTCCTTAGTCAGACTTCCACTCAAAACCCCTACTTGTAGCCTTCATTATGCATTTCCCCACTGCAGTTTATTGGGGCCACTTAATCTGTTTTTTCATTAACCTTGATTGTGTACAGTAGCCTTAAGAATTTAGCTGTTACTCTGGCCATGAGATGACACACCCTTCTCCACCTTAAGATCACAGGCATAATTGAGAGGCACTAAGTTGTGGGGCCAATATCTTCATTTTACCCCTGGAATTCAATTCACCGTATTTAATGCCACCGTTGATCAGGAGTAATAGATCTAAGGTCACTCTGCCCAGGTATTGTGTACTACAGTAGACTTTCGTTCCACCTTTCTTGGGGCTGGTGGACTTTCAGCAGTTTGCAGCTATATCAGTGATTTTGGTCCTAACCTAACTTGCAGAATAAAGCTGACACAGTGCTCAGACAAGCCTGCTCTTGGTTTGGTTTTTGCTCATAGTGTCTTGCTTTAGTGTCCACTAATTTTATGTCAAGCATCAGGGTAAAATTATGTTCGTTTGTCATGAGTATGCATGAGTTGTCTGCTGCTGCTCACCAGAAAAGTACAGGGTTAGAGCTGCCCGTGTCCTTGTTGGTTAGTCCACATGGTGGCAGTATTGTAACATAATTCCTACTGTACACCAGCTAACCTTCAAGGGATTGCATTTCAGAAGTGAAAGAACATCAGAAGGTAGGGAGAACTGAAGTTGGATGTTGGCACAAGAATGAATCCCTGTCTTGTAGAGATGTAGGTCCTTGACAGAACAGTAATTATGTATGCTTTATATATAGGATCTATATTAATTCTGTTAAGTACTTAGTACAGATTTCCCAGCAATTCATCACTTTCCCTGAGGGTAGGGTCGGCTGCTTTTTGGAATCTGACCTTGAAGAATCTGTACCATCATAGTGGTGCTCCTAGGAACAGCTAGCTTCTGCCATCAGATTACTTCCTAAACCAGGGATTCTCAATTAGGGGGTCGGGACCCCTCAGGGGGTCACAAGGCTATTACATGGGGTGTTACGAGCTGTCAGCCTCCACCCCAAACCCCGCTTTGCCTCCAGCATTTG